ACGAGGTGTCCGTTCCATGGAAGGCTGGGGCCACTTGCGGGTCATGGCTGCCATCGTCATCCTAGCTGGCAGCGCTCAGGTGAAGCTGCTCCAGTCGGCTTCTCAGGGCGTTGAAACTGGGGTCGCTCCCCAAACTTCAGCTGTGGCAAACAGGGGCCATGAAGCCCTCATCCAATGCTATGAGTGCAAGTTGCACCGCAGGTGATGACTCACCGGTGGCATTGAGATCGACCTCCAAACTACTCAGCCTCCAAAAAATCCCTATAAGGTCAATGTTATTTGTTCGGTCAAATGCACCTCGTTGGCCGTTTATGGATAAAGATTACAGATGTAGATTTGACCATGTCCACGTCACTGATGCACCTTGAGGCACCCAGTCCTCACCAGGGCAAATTGGATGCCTTACAGCGGCAGGACAGGCTGTTTTTGGCCCCAAACATGATAGGTGTAACGTCAAGTGTGTGTAAGTGTGTATTTTGCTAAACCCCTGGGCGGTTGATCAGTGGGAACATACCGTTTGAGTAGCAGATAATCACTGTTTAGATCTGTTTAGGGGGAACTCCCTAGTTAATCAACCAGAGTTTATTAATGCGGGGTTTGACAGATAGGGCGCCCTCGAACTTCTCTAGGATGTGAGGCCCGCAGTGTGACTCCACAGTGCGACTTTAGATGTTTTGGCTTATGACACCCAATGTCTCGGCCTATATAACAATGTGGTTGCAGCTTCGACCTGCAACTCATTTACACTAGGTATGTGCAGGCCGCATCGCCACAAGGGGTGTGGTTTTCACTCATGATTTCATCCATCTCTACCTAGGAGGATGATCCGCATTGACTACGTAATATGAAGTAGGTTGAAACCAGCAACCAGGTCAGATTGGGTTCGGCCGCTCCACTGGCTTCAGAACAACTAGGGGATCAGCATGATAGAAAGATGGGCCTGATGGCTAACGGTCAAGGATCACAAAGGCAGCAATCTCAAGGCAAGCACCACTTATTAAAGCGACACCTGTCAGCAGATTTGCGGGCACTGCACCTCAACAGGGCAAGGAGACATAGACATACCAATTCACCAGCTGGGCAAAACCTTTGCCCATTTTCGTAGCTTCGGTGCGACCAGGTTTCGCACCGTCGGCCAAAAATCGCGCCGTGTTTTTTGCGCATTTTCCTGGGCTCTTGCTGGCTGAGGCTGGTCCGTTGAGATATGGATTTAGATTTGCTGCACCTGGCATATAAACATCAACACACCCGCAGTATGCACATAGGCCACGTATTGTCACATAGGTGTCGCAGGATGCATGGATCATGAAGTGCTTGTAGACTGCAAAAGGTGAAGCCCTGGAGTGGCAGTGATGCCAGTGACGCCACTGACGGCTCCGCAGGTCTTTGTAGCACGAGTCGAGCATGGTGTGGAGCCAGAGCTGGGAGAGTTGAGCGACGGACTGCGGTGAAAGTGTTTCGCAAGTTGGGGGCACGAGTTTTCTTTGTGGAGTTGATTGGTTCAAAAGAAGGCATTGAATGAGGGAACTGTGGCAGCCAGTTCTTTGCTTCCTGCTCGGGTGTGGGTTTGCTTCGTTGATGACTGGATTTGAATCGGCAAATACGCTTGTCTCATGTGACTCATGGGTGGTTCTTTTGGTTCTTCGGAACATGTTCAAACAACTCCAGTGTTTTCTCTCACCAAGATATGGTTCGCTTGCTGAGGGAGCTGACGCCATTCTCAATGTCCACAGCCTTGTGAAGGCCGGCATCTTGGTGGTGCAGTTTCAAGAACTGGTTGTTTTCAGTGCTTCCTTTTCTGAATTTCTTTCCCAAGGGGGATCAGCACCTTGAAGACGTAAAGAGCACCGGATCATGTCGGATCCGAGGCTTCTCAGGTGTCGCCGAGGCTCTTGGAAACGCTCAACTGGCACGTGAGCACCGCGAGGGCCTCGTTTTTAGCTGCGGCCATGGTGGGTCTGGGACCACTTTTTTGGTTGGGCCACAAGGTGGCTCAAGATGCTGAAGCCGAAAGGTGTGCAAGTTTTTGGCCGACTTCTCACTATACTACCTGCCAGTCAGTTGGGACTTGTCGGAGACCCTCAAATGAACATTTTCGTGCCTCATGAGTTCAAGAGCCAAAAATACACAACTCCTATGTCACTGGGACACCTAACTCCTAACCTATCAGAGAGTAGTATAAATCCATGACAGGTCCGATTCAAATCAATGGGATGCGCCGTGTCGAGTTGCCGTCCCCAAATGCAGCGCAAATTCTGAGGTCTATGATGTGCATGTTGGCCAACCCTTCAACTTCATCTATGATGTCCATGGCTCAGCACTTTGAACTCACCGACTGTTGGTGTTCAGAAGGTGACTGGTGTATTTCCCCGGGCAGGTGATGAATTTCTGCATAAAGGGGCGGAGTTCAAAAGACCTTTTTAGTAGACATCTATGGCACTATGGGATGCTGTATTCCATTGGTTCATCCCACATTTGTTGCTGGGCGATGACAAAACATATTCCGTTGCCATGTTTGATGACCGGAAGGTAACGTGATCCTTGGACATAGGAGGCACAACATATCCCCATTTTGTGAAGGTGAACCCCCCATTCTTGTTGGTTAACTCCCGATTTGTGTTGATTCCACATTTTTGATTAGATCATTGAATCTCAGAATTTCTTGGTAAGATCTTCCTTTCCCTTTGTTCAGCCGCCTTGGGCTGCCTTAAACACCGTCTCAGGTGTTGCAGTTCTCATCAGGACGCGACAAATTTTGTGCCTTGATGCAGGGCTATGCCAAATTCGCCAGCGAGGCGACGCGGCGAAAAACACACATCCAGCTCCCTTTGGATGAACACAACTTGCGATGGCTGGATCTAGATGCTGTTGATGTTTACTTTACTAAAACTAATGATGCTGTTGATGTTTACGTACAAGAAACAGCTAGCATGATGGGCACTCTGAACTTCTTCTTTTTTCAGCATGAATCCAGCACTTGTTGGCAAGATGATTGATAAGTGATAAGTATTTGGTGACCAAAACATTCCAAGACGTCAGTTGCTATCGAACTCTTTGAGGATCCAACAAAACCTCGGCAAGTCGCAGGTACTCGCCAAGCCGGACAGTGAAAGACACTGGATGTATAGAGGAATCGAGGACGCCGACCCCACGCACTGAAATTGGGTAGATGAAGGTCCCCAACAGCTATTTTCATCTATTTTCTGCATTATTGACATGTTCGTTTGGGTGATTGCCAGGCTTTGACTGAAGCAGTTTGATTGATGCATCCATTTCCAGCGAGAGGGCGGGCAAGTGGAAAAAAAATCCAGCTCACAGAATCTCACTATCTGTAATCTGGTCATTTTCCCTCCTGCACTCTCTGAAGGTCGACGTTTCCTTCTGCATCGGCCATCAATTTGCTATAATTTGCTATGTCAGATTCTCGCAATTTTGGACAGGATAGCCTTAGCGACGGTCGCAAGATTTTCCGGCTCTTCAAAGAATTCCGGGAGGTCTACAAGGTCAGCAGCCTCGGATTCAAAAGGAGGCAGGGAGCTTCAAACCCTGAAGCCCCAGGTACGACGTGGCTGGAGCCGATTTAGTCAGGGAGCGCAAGAAGAAGGGTGCCTTGACGCATTGGAATGTGGCAGTGAAGATTAGTTAAAGATGTTCCAACCTTGAGGACCCCCAAAGAAGTTTTCCAAGAACAAGCACTTCTTAGAACAATATATCCTTACAACTCATATCCTTGATGATGAAGATGACCATGATGAACGTACCGCACTGATTGCTCACAAGGGCTGTTTTGGTATGCCTATCCTTTATACTTATGAGGGTTTAATCACGAGCATGCAATGAGTTGTGTAACGAGCATGCAATCAAGCGCGAAATCATCTGGTAGGGCAGAAGTTTCTTGTGGCAGGGCAGCTTGCAGCAAATCAAGAAACCAAATGCTTTTGGTCCTTGGTCCAGCCAATTTCAGTCCGGCAAAACAAATAGGACAACATTCACATCATTCACCATACCTAGCCCTACATTTTAGGTGTTCAGAAACGCCATCTCCAGGCCAGGCTCTGCCTGGCCTCTTTCCAGGACCTTCTCCATCCCAGCGGCATGTGGAGTGCTTGACATGTCAGATGCCGAGTCACAGGGAACTCCCTGAGTGTTCCCGCATTTTCTCAGGGCATCCATGTTGAAAAAATAAACTGGTGAAACCAATCCACCAACCACTGAACCAATGGCTGATGGGCACTACTTCCTACCACCAAGGCTTGGTCACACCTGCTCCTTCTTCTACTACCTGGGTTTGGGGCTTTGGGGGGATGCCGCATCGTCAAGTCGGGAGTCCAGAAATTTGGGGATTGTCGAGTGTAGGATAGTGTAGGTGTCAGTTGGATTTTGGGTTGCAATTTTTGGGCTCTGCAATGACTGGCTGGTTTTGAAATGCTTCAATTTTGTATCAGTCAAGCATAGGAATGGGACGATGATCCCCGATGACGTGCAAAAAAATTCGCTTCGGGGGCAGCGGAAAAACCACCAGCTACAAGGTGGTTAGCCCATAGTTCGCGAAGTTGGTTGATAACTCCAATAGCAGCCAGGCTAGCCTTTGTGGTGGATATGATATATCTATAGTTACGAAATGTTACTTTAAAAAAACGCTCACTATGGTTTACATACCAACAAACAATAAGAAACATTAATATAACTGGGAGGGGGCTACCAGCTGATGTTGTGTTGACCATAACCTGACATCTCGAGGCGACAACCTCCTGTGGGCTGCTTCGGTGGGCTTGGTGCGTTCCAAGGAGGTCCCCAAGATGCAGAGGAGGACCGTGCTGGGTAAAACCGACGGGAGAATGATGGTTCAATGGTCTTCAATGGTTGGTTTCGATGGGTTTCGATGGGTTTCGATGGGTTTCGATGGGTTTCGATGGATTTCCACGACTGTAGGTGTTTTCAAGTTTTCGTAGCTTTCGCAGCTTTCGCTCCAGTTGACTCACATTTCTTGGCACCGGTTTTTCACCACGAGATCCCTGCGGGAAACCGGCTGACCTTGGCTCCATTAGCTCATGGTATCAATGCGTAGATGGTTCGACACCTAAAAGCCACAGCGGGAACATTTTGCAACTGCATATTTACCAAATCGGGAATTTCAACCAGCCCCCAAAACGAGTTTTTGAACATGCAGATAAAACGAGACTTTTTTGACATGTGCAGGCTGCCAACCCGAACGGAACAGTGCGACCTGTCAGGATGTGGAAAGGTTTCCGCCGCTCGGCGGTGGGTGAACGGGTGAGTGGTGAGTTGGCCAACTGAAAAGGTGCCATATGTGCCATACACAGCACGCTACCGAGACGTGTTTTATGCATAGATAGATATGACATGATATGACATATATCCGATCCTATATTGCTCTCCATCAGCCTTTATAGCCCATCAGGGGGGTACAGTGGGCCTGGAACCCTGGTGTGAGGCAAGAACGGTGCTATTTTGAACTCCCTGGGCGGTGTGAGCAGCATGGAGCCCCGGGGGCAGAACCAGGTGGTGTTCCACCGGATGCGTTGGAGTGCTACCACCAGGACTAAAGATAGCAGCTGTTGGAGATGCAACAACACATTTTTCTATATTTTTCTGAATGTGTGGAACTGCACATACTGCACCATGCAGGCGTACCATGGCGTACCCAACAAAATCCACCATTCAGGTTCTCGTTTGGGAAGGGGAACCATGAAGCAATTATTTGTCTTATACTCAAGCCACAGAAATAGGATCATGATCCCCAATCACTTTCGCATCTTTTTCACGGGGCTCGACCGCCAAGATGTGAAGCAAAAGCGCAACTGGGCCTCGATTTGGAGGTTGAATTTTGCGATAGGCGCAGCTGCGGGGGAGAATGGTGGACCTGGCTACATCATCGTGTTACCTAAGGCCAACTTGGGGCCTTTTAGCCACGAACAGTGCTAGAGTTCACTGGGAGGTGTTGGAGGTTGTTTGGGTGTAGTTTAGGTGTACTTTGGGTTTGCCTAAACCAAGGGGTAACAGCCAAGGCCGCCAAGGCCGACCAACTGCGACATTGGCCTGGCTCGTAGGGGGTGCCATATCCAGCGGTATTTGGCCATTGGCAGGTGCCAACATCCTGCTGTTTTACAAGGCCGTGCTACGACTTGGATGGAAGAGTAGCTTGGCGTCTTGTGCCGATGTGGTCCCTCATATGATGCAAGCAATGAAGGGAAGTGTCGCACAGCTGTGTGCGCCATGGCTGCCATGGTGGAATGTTAGGGGTTCGGATGGCCGTAGTTTATGAAACGTTGTTGTAAATCTCATACAGCACACAATTGAAGTAGAAGGGATTCTCATTTAAGGTCTCACACATTGTGCCGAGGTTTGGAGGGCCCCGACGTGCCGGACGCAGTGGGTGAAGGGTGTGGCATGGAAGACCATAGGAACGGGGCTCTTGACAACTTTGTGTATGGAGGAGTCAAAATATGTCAAAATAGCTGACTTTCTGATCTCAATTCCTATCTCAATTAAGAGGCTGGGCGGCTGGACCAACATGTTTGTACTGGTAGCAGGCAATTTCAAGGAATGTCAATGGTGGAAAGAAACAGTTGATTTCTGAGGATGCCGGCAAAACACAATCAAGGGTCGCATCGCGATTGTCTTGGCAGTTGTGCCACATGGAGGGCAGTTGTGGACACTGCATCTACATTTTCTCACGTACCGCCGAGGATGCACGACTTTTCCATACCCTGGAGATCATCGGCATGCTCGCCAGCTACAGGGTACTGCTCTCCAAGCTGAACATCCTCAAAGCCTCTCATGCCAGGCTCCACGGCTCATTTTCGAGGGAATTGCAGTGATCTTGGCACCATGGAAACATGTTTTCCCCAATCAACTCGACTTGCAGCTGCTTTCCCAAGAGAGCTTACGTGCTGAAACAAACTCTCAATTTGTGGATTGATGAATTTCGAGGGTTTTTCCTAACTTATCTAACTTAGAGCCTCATTTTGAAGCTGGCTTGTCAGCTTTGCAGGCTGGGTTTGTTGGCCATGTTGGCTGCAGCCTGTGGCATTTGGAGCAACTGGCGTAAGGTGGGCCGCTTCTAATCTCCCAAGAAGTTGGCTGACCCCTGACACCAGAGAGAGAATCCGAATGGGGCCTCCCTTTTCATGCACTTTGGATATTGGTCCGTTGCGGTATGCCAATGTTGACGTTCCAGCTATTGAGTTTCACCAGTGTGGCAGCTTCCAAGCTTGGAACCCCGAGGTTCGCAGGAAGAAGTGTGGCACCAAAACCTTCGTGGTGGCGAGCAAGAATCAAAAGGCCAAGTTAAATGGGGGCTGCCATTCTCATGATTCGTCATGGTCCTGAGAATGTGCCAAATACCTGGATTACTCATCACATTCCTCATTGATCTCATTGAATCGCCTGGGATATGCCCCCATGTTCACATTCACCCATTTCTCTTCCAAGTGGACGGTTTGGTCATACCAACATTTATGGGCTTAAAATAATTCAAATCTGCGGTTAGCTGCATGATGTGGGAGGAGAATTGCTTGCAGAGATCAAATAACTGGAGACGTCCGAGTGTCAATGTGAGATTCTGGAAATAATGAAAGAGGATATCAAAGAGTATTCCAAGAAATTGACCATGAAATTCAATGCAGGTGGCGCAAACCGTGGGGTCTATATCCCAGTCCCAACGGCAAGGATCTCAAGCCATTGTTGGAGCTTCATTTTTGAAGCAAGGGGCGACAGCGGGTAGAAGAACCCCGCAGGTTGTGGTCGAAGTCTCCCTAAACAAAGGCCCTTGAAAAGTACTTTGGCGAGGACACAGTGGCAACCCTCGGAAAATGAGGCCCGAATCTACCACACCGTTGCCAAGTTCTATGGATAGCCAGGGGAACTTTGGGTCCATGGCCCTGGACCGCAGCCCTCACGGGGTACCATACGTATCCATACGTTGGATAAGGCACCCGGTGATGCACCAAAGCACAACTGATGGGGGTACTTAGCCAGGTTGGAGAGAAGAGATCCAAATGCGTCTTATACTTGCGCAACATTTTGGGTCACATACCGGTTGGCTTGCAAGATACAGAATCTTCACCATTGCAATGTGACGAGCATGGCATGTGTGTCTCACGGTACCCTGGCCATGACAAGTTCTGGTCAATGGAAGTAGGCCAGGGCTGCGAAGATTTCAAGCTGCTTTGGAGTCTTGTGACCGAAAAGATATTCACGGAATTAGACTTGGTCGCTTTTGCCAAGTCTTCTTTGATGAGCAGCTTGCCCATAAACTCCAAGATTTTGCCATTTAAAGAGTGCGCGGGTTGTTTTCCCTAGACCCCTCTTCCCAACTTTTTCGAGTCGGTTTGACGAAGCTTGCTTCACAACTTTGTTGAGTTGGCTTGACGAGACTTCTTTCCCGACTTTATCGAACCGGTTTGACGAGACTTTGGTCCAACGCACCTGAAAGCACGGGCAGGAATCCCTTGATCCTGGCAGTTGGATTTTTTCAGCGGTGACCCAAAAAAACATGCCGTTGGATCTTGGCGCAGCTTTTTCAAACCCCAAAGGGGCACATATCACTCTTGTGTGATAAGGCAAACCAAACAATTTCCTGCAAGGGGACCTATCCAACTTTTTGGTAACTTTGACGTCCCAAGGCAACAATTAACCAGCTCCTTTTTTCCTTGCTGGTCCTTGCACCGCGCAGGTGGAGGCCATTCAGAATTAACTTTGCATTGGGCGCGGGCCTCTGTTTGGCTGCGATGTGGTTGTTGTGCGTTTGGGCACGGCCATGCGCATTGGAAAATGCTCGTTCCCTCAACATGTTTGACGGCAGCAGGGAATCACTTACAAACCCATCAGCTCGGGGAATCCCCAATTTTCAGAGAAATTGTGGAGGAATTCTACTTGTCAGGTGCAAGAGGCCGAGACTGAGGGTTTCGGTTGCCTGTATATAGAATGTACATAGCTCATGAATGTTTTGCAACTCAGTGGCATCCCTGAAGTGGGAGAGCTATCCACCCCTGGGCACTGCTCTCAGGGCAATTTTTGCAAGGGCGGAGCCTGGGTTCACTCACACGGGTGCGTTCAGAACCTTTGTTGATTGTTACGAGATTTTTCTTCTTCCCCACCGGTATGGGGCTCTTGAAACTTGTATCGTTTGTAGCAGGAGAGAAGGGTCGCTGGCTTCAATTCGTTGTGCCTTGCTCAAATTCAGACGTCACCAGCAAGTGTGTCGAGTGAGTGGCTCACGCGCCCCAAAAAAAGCAATCCAGTCGGGAGCGACAACCAGTCTGGATCCTGGTCACACCGGCGGTCTGCCAGCCGCACCCGCAACGTGGCTTTGCCTAGCTTCTGCCGGTCGCCGGCATGCGCAGCTCAGCAACATCAGACTGTGAGGCGTAGTAGCGGCGTTTGACTTGGAAAAGGCAATGGGAATCAATGGGATGGTCATGTTAGGGGCGAAAGATTCCAAAATTTCCAATTTTGCGACCCATGATAACTATAACCCATGCCCCCGAAAGAACCCGCTGTTTGCCCCAGGAGCAACATTTGCCCACACGGCTGCTGGACGTCTCTGCCGCCAGAATCCCCGGGCTACTGAAAGCGGTTTCCGGCATGCGGTGAAGACAAGTTGATGCAATTCTTCATACTTTGAAAGGAAAAATTGAAGCCCTTTAAGTTTTTCTTCGCGAAATTTCCGTTCATGCTTCGGACTTTAGGAAGAAAAATTGACTTTGGTTTTCGTTGAGGCGTTGAGGGTGAGGTTCCTTGAGTTTGTTCAACAGGCCTGGGCCGGATTGGTTGAGCCACTATGATTGGATGTCATGCTGCGAACGTTTCTTATGACTGATCGTGCACTTCCCCCCATATTGCAGCGTGCAGTCCACAAAAAAGTCAATTCACCAGGACTTCTAGTATCTTTTAGCAGTTTAAATTTTCATGTTTTATTGGGTTAAATGAGCAATCCCCCTTTCACTTATCGATACCGAGCTTGCACCCGACCCAGCATCCCGCCAGCGTTGGCTCCCGGTGACTGGCGCCATGAAGGGCCGCGATGAGCCGCTACTGGATCCGGAGAGCCCCGCCGAACCGCCCGAGGTCACCCGGGACTCGCCCTTCACAGGGGGAGATGGGCGGCCCAGCGAGCCAGAGCCCTGGGTGGAAATGGGTCGGGGGTTGCGAGGTGATACATCCGTAGTTCGAAGGATGAAGTTGGTTTGTTATCGATCTTACTATAACTCACCATAAGTCTAAGTTATACACAACCTTAGCATACCTTAGCTAGTTATGGGCACCACCTTGTGTGGAGGCTTCGGGTTTTGGGGCTCAAGATGACATCACAGAAGTATTGTAGGGCTAGGGAAGCATTGGAAGAAGTTACAACCAAGGGGAAGAAGATGGGCCGATGGGCCACCCTTAAACACTGGCGGATGATCCAGGGAGGTTCCGTTGTTCTCCCTATTGCTGAGCACCATTGATCCCATTGATCCATGGGATGCTTCCTGCTAAAACCGACTGTTTTCTGGAGGCCGACCCCTGAACAATACACAACCACAACCATAAATATCTGGATGCACCAACCGTAAGGGATCAACCAGACGAGCTGCCTGAGGAGAGGATTCAGATCATGATCCAAGCAGCCCCGCCAGCTCCAGCTAATCTGGCGCCCACCAGTCACCTGGCTGGATGGCAAATTAGAGCAGGAGCCTATTCCATCCTTTCTGTTGTGGTTGGATTGTGACCCACTGGACCAGTCCCCAAATGCTGTTCCAATTTACTTCTATTTCTCATAGTCCCACTGCTGTGGGTGACGATTGACGACTCCGTGGACCCACTTTTTTGGCAAATCGACCCCCAAAAATGTCAAGCATATAATATGAATGTCAACTCTGGATTACTTGGCCCCCGGTTCACTACTCCGGGTATCAATTTTGATAGGAACTTATCATGATTTCAAGAACTCAAAAAAATCAACCCCGGTTTATTTACCCTCCGGTAATCAAACATGGTTAGATGATAGATGGAAAATCCACTGTAGGAAAATGGTCGAACCAAAAAACGGTGGATTACCCAGCCATGGCTCCTGACACCAGAGAGTACAGCTGAATCTGAATCATCCCACTTAGTAACTGGTTCATAACCATAGTTATAAGTTATATTAAGTTAGAACTTATAACTAACTTCCTAGCCCACTTATAAATAGGATAACCCGCTGAATAGCTATTATCCACCTATCAGACCTATCATTCGGATCCTCCATGGCCTCCGGAGCCTCAGGTCTGAGCCAATCACTGCTGCACTCCCTGGCCGACGCGCCGTCGGGGTCCAGCGAGGGCCCGTTGCAGGGCCTGACGTCGGAGCAGGCGCAGCAGCGGCTGCTGGAGCATGGACGCAACGAGATCCCCGAGAACGTGCCTTGGTTGGGTTCGGCATTGGTTTTCCGTGGGTGTCTAAGCTTGAAATACCTTTAACCACCGAAGATGGGGATATGATTTTTTACATTTGATCTGGAAAATGGTTCTGGTGGGCGCTGGCAGATGGAAAATTATGGAGTTTTTCTCATCTTTGCAATCATTGCAAATGGAGGTTGAACCACAGAAATGGGGATGCCACTTGATAAAACGGGGTGATTTTCCAGCCAGTATGATGATTGGGGGGTCTTACAACAATTAGAGTTTGAGCCAACATAAGGGTGATTGTGGATACTGCAGCCGCGGTTTGTTGAGCGGAGTTGATTGGGCAGCAGCGCACCGACGGGCTTCCCCAATAAATAAACCCTGGGGCGAGGGTGGGGCAAGGTGATAATTAAAACATTGGGTTAGCAGTGTGGGTCTGGACAAACATACAGGGAACTGCTAAAGTCGTCTCTTTTTGTGTTGTTTTCAAGAAATCAGCCTCTTTTTGGCTTCCCGCAAGCTGAATGCAGTATATGGTAAAAAGCAGGTGGAAACTGTTTTCTTGCTGGCAGTTTCTTGTAATTGTGCTGGGACATGGCAGAGGGGCACGGATTTTGGCACTATGCTTCCATGTTCCATGTAGCCTGCAGCCCCGCCAAGGTTGAAGCATGGTATGTGATGCTGGGCAAGCAGTTTGTAGGCATGATGCCCTTTATGTTAATCATTGCAGCAGTGTTATCTGGAGTCACCGAAGATTGGACGGACTTTGCGGTGATTACGCTGATGCTCATCGTGAACGTGCCTCGGTGTCCGGCATGGCATTGGCACGGGGGCAGATCAAGATGTGTCAACATAAGGCGGAACGCCATGCTTCTTCGATAATATGATAAAGTTGTAAACCCAAAATTTTAAACCAATCCCCAATTTCACCAGAAATAGGTGGTATAAAGCATCCCCAAATGGCAGCTTTGGAAACTGGGCTGTCCAGTAACGGACCTGTGAGGCCCTGATTGGCTTTCACGAGGAGTTCAAGGCACGTCAATCCTTGGATGCGCTCAAGGCGCAGATGATCCTTGGCGAAGCACACCGGACACGAGCTGAGCTGAGGTGTGCCGTTGTTTCTGTTGTGCTTCTTCTTGTGGGATTAAAGGATATTAATTGTGCCAGGTCAATGCCAGGTCAATGTGGAAAGATGAAGAATGTTGACTTTGGTATGGCTGGATATGGCTGGATATGGCTGGATATGGCTGGGTTGGCCACAAGTCATCCACATGCCGTTTTTGGGCCCTGACATCCACCTGGCCTAGGACTGCCACGGTCCCCGTGAAGCGCGATGGTGAAATGGTCATCATCCCCGTGGCTGAGCTGGTGCCTGGTGATGTGACCCTGGGCCGATAATTACCGTGACATGGGCCACCATTTGCAAGTCCATCAATTTGTTGACAGAAACTTGCCAGACCCCAGAAAAACACTGCCATAAAAACCGAGTCTAGCATTGAAGATTGGCTTCAACATCTATTTTAAACAGCTCTTCCAGCTTAGCGGCGGTCTTCACTGCTGGCTGAGGATTTTCCTGCGGGGTGGCAACATCGTCCCAGCGGATTGCGAGTTCCTGGAGGCCACAGTTGAGGGACTCCCCAAAGAAGTAGTTTTGCGTTTAACACCAGTGTCAAAACACCAGGCGCAACTATTTTTTGGACCACACTTTTTTTTTCTCTCTCTCCTTGGGAACCTATCATACCTATCCAATTTTGAAAGCCAACTTCCAGCTCCATGTGGTTCATGATAAACGACTGGCTTTGTCTTCCCCACCAGTGAAGTGCCTATTTTCCAACAGGGCGATGAGATGCTGGTGGACACCGCTGCCCTCACCGGCGAGCCGCTGCCGCGCAAGGTGCCGCGCCCGGAGCGTCCGGACGAGCCGCAAGGCGCGGGGCGGCAGCTGCTGAGTGGATGCATCGTGAAGCAACGCGGCTGAGGGTGGGGGGGCGGGGGACCGAGAGACCCGTGGCCTGGTGAAAAATGGTGGTGAAATGCTTCGAACATGGGATTTGAAGTCAGAGAAAATGGGATTACCCTAGCAGCTGAGAAGCTCGGGGTCTTGAGCTGAGTTTTTTTTTGGGGGTTTAGTTTTTTTTCTCCGGCCTAAACAATAGGTGAAGATGGGTTGAGCCACTTACATGGAGGAATGCTGAATATCCATCCGAGCCAAAACTTGGGTTTCATTTCCTATATGGCTGAGAGATGATGGAAGCAGCAAAGCACTTTTTGAGGAAAACTCATCATTCTCAGTTGTGAGTAGCCACTCGCAACATACTCCCAGAATTTGAGAGCACAACAATTGCTAGTTGGATTTAATCATCAGATATGATATATGGAACATGTCCTAAAGTGGTGTTTGAAACATCACCAAAGTGGTGGTGAAATTCCGTTTGCCCCTTCCACATAGATGCAATCTCTCAGCTGAGGAAGATCTTATCACTTGGAAGCTACCAACCATTTCCCATCCATAATCATCAGGGGTACACCCCTCCGATTTTCTCTGACTTGCAGCCCCAAAAACCAGGCCTCTGTCTGAAAATGGGTTCCCCCAACATCTCCTTGTTCATCATCATCATCTTCCCCATTCAAGTGGCAATCTTGGTGCACCCCGCCCCGATTTTTCAACCACTCCAAGCCCTGAACAGTTGCACCAAGGCAAGGGGAAGCACACTGCGAGGTGAAGGAAACCGGTCTCAACACGGAGATTGGACAGGCAGGACTTGCTGAATTCCGCTGAGGGGATCAGCCATCAGCTTGTGACGCCAGGCCGCAGGGCTGGTGGCAGAGGCTTCCGGACACCAGGCGAGCCTGTTCGAGCGGAAGATCATGCAGGCTGGTAAGCTGCATGAACATGCATGATATGTATGAACGATTCGAGACTTTGGCATCCATTGTTAATCATTGTTTGGATGCCCTAACTTTGACCCTATCACAGCCTATCACATCCACATCGACCATAAGGTGACTCAAGCGCTCCACCCATCCGAATCTGAGGTGGTACATGCCGTGATCCTGTTGGCTCTGGTGGATGCTGGTGTGGTGCTCTACATTGACGTGGGACATCGAAGTGTTCGCTTCTCCAAGGCGCTTCTGAACGAAGCTTGGTAGATATGAAGGAGCTGGGAAACCTATATCCATCTATTTTTAATTCTATATCTATCCTGTATATAATTATATATTATATATATGTATGGCTTCATTAGTAGATATTTGAGAATCATTCCTATCATGCATTCTTTTAGATCATTTTGGGGATGCCGCGGCATTAACCACAGTCAAGACAAGCTGATAAGCAGGGGGGAACCTGCCACTGATCATCCTGGTAGTGACCTCTGGAAAGGAGCATCCCCACAGTGGTGGGTGGCCAAGGTGCTAGCCTTGGTAATTGGCGCCGTGCCCATTGCCCTGCCATTGGTGATGCAGGCGCTAGCCTTAAAAACCATCCTGCCTTGGGAACTCCGAACCAAGAAGATCCGAGAAAACATCGCTGGTCCGAACCAGATCCTGCAACAAGTGGAGTAATGACAAGTGACGTCCTCAATTTGTCCCAATTTGGGATCGGAGGTCAAAAGGCCCTTTGGTGAACACCAAAATGTTTTTTTTTCCCCGTCTTCCCTGCCAGGTGACCATGGCCATAGGTGCCGCAAGCATGGCCAAACGGCAAGCCATTGTGACGCATTTGACTGCCCTGCAGGAGATAGTCACTGGGACCTAAGAGCATGGGCAGGTTACCCCAGCAGAAATATGTAGAAATCATTCTGCAACAAGAACTGGGACCCAAATTGGTTGAACTGCAATGCTTGCCGATCTTCGGTTCTGGCACAAGAAACGGATGAATGGTTAGATGATTTTTGTGCACATGGGTTCTGTCACGTAGCCTTGGGTTGCATATATGCTAATGTCTGTGGATCTGTGCAGGGTTGGGTACGTCCTGTGTCAAAAGGTTCTTGATTCATCAGGCAACCCCATGGTCACCAAGGCTTCCATGACGGTGCTGTGTAGTGATAAGACCGGCACCCTGACCACGGCGGACATGCGGGTCTTGCCCCATCGCACTTGGACCCATCGGATGACCAAAGACGATGCACTGCTGTATGCCTGCCTTGCCTCCAATCCGGCCAACAAGGACGTCTTGGGGGCCCAATCGATGTTGGCCAACCGGTTGTATAGTCTGTACAGTGACCATCAGTAAGCCAACAAAAATCAGATCATCAGCAAAATCAAAGAATGAACGTGAGATACATGATACTAGTAACTAGTATATGATATATGTATCTCTATTTGTTTGTTTGCCATCGGTTAGAAGGGTCAACACCTCACAGGAGGATCCCATTGACAAAGCCATCCTGGGCTCTGGTCATGAACACTTTGGGGAGGAGGAGGTGCCATGGGCCATGGAGGGGTGAACCACAGGGTTGATGGCTGCTGTCCTGTGGCTTCGTTATAATATATGGATTCATATGGCATTTCACCCCGGCGTTGGCATTCCCAGGTTGAAAACTGTGCCAGGTGGCCATATGAGTGGAGATTATTCTCATTGGTTTTCACGTTCGAGAGTTCCGTAGATGTTTTGGGTCACTGCTGACCCTGAGGCGGATAAGCTGATGAACATGTACAAGAAAGAGAAATTCGTGGGCTTCAACCCAACGGTGAAGCGCACCGTAGTCTATTGCGAGCATGAAGAGAAGGGCAAACTGAAGATCTCGAAGGGGTTGGTGGATAAGGTGCTGGTGACGGGAGATGATGGTGGAGATTGCTGGGAATGTGCTGATGCGGCTACGTGGTTGAACGGTTGAACGTGGGATGCCGGAGAGGTTGAATTCCTAAGAAGTACACTCTGGTAAACTAACATAACTATGAAATCAACTATAAATGGCCCAAGTGTGGAACAGGCACAGGAGTGCAGCAACGCAACAGCCGATTTGACCGGTAAGGACACCCAGGTCTTCATGGGTTGAATTCAGTGAGACCAGGGCAGTTTGACGGCCAAGACCTGCACGAGTAAGTCATGGGCCCTCAAGAGATACCCTCTGGTAAACATACAAAAAGCTATGGAAAGATCCACCATTTTTAATGGGAAAATCCACTATTTCTATGGCCATTTTCAATAGCTATTTGACAAATTACCAGAGGGTAACAAATTCCAACTGAGATGATCCAATTTCTTCTCAACTTAAGGAGAAGATGCGCGAAGAACTGAAGGAGGTGGACGTGCGCTTCAGTTCCCAGGGCTACAAAACCGTGGGTTTGGCGGTGGCCCACAACGAGGGGCCCATGGTCTTCTCCGCGATTGTCCCCATGTTGGACCCCCCGAGGACCGACACCAAGCTGACCATTTATCGGATCAGGGAGGCGGGGATCAACGTGAAGATGATCACAGGTGGGAATGGGCGATGATGGGCCGGGGGTGTAAGAACACTTCGGACAGATTTGTAGAATTTTGATGAACTTTCTAGATAGGTTGGACTAGATTAGAGCGAATCAGATCAGATAAGATATTAAAGAATATTCAAGATAGATAACATTAGATAGCCAACCTTTGTGAAGACTCCAAAGGGTGCCAACAAAAAGTAATTTGAACAACAAACCAGCATGTGGATACTCGCCATTATCAGTTGGAGATCACCCATAGTGCAAAACCGGGTGGCTCAACAATCTACCGGCTGTGCATGGGGAGATTACAAGGGTACAATTCAGGGTGGTACTAGCATGCATGGAAACATCTTTCTTTTATATCTCACTTTTGGGTATGTGTTGCTTTTCTCTATCTATTCTCTCTACAGCCAAGTATGTAACTTATTTTCGCGTCGCCCTGGCGTCACCGCTGGTTCCACGGAATCAAATAACGATTTTAACCTATGTTTTTCCCAATGTAAGGCGTTAGGTGATCACCCAAAATTAGGGAAAAATATCACATCCTTCATTTCTTCGAACATTTCTGGATGCTTTCCGGTATAGGTCAGACTTTAAGACCTCTTTAAGTCTTTGTTTAGTATTAACCATCTATCTATCTAATCTATCTATCCATCCATCAATCCATCCATCTCTCTCCCTCTCTCTCTATCTGTATATCTACATATATATATATATTTATATATATCTATCTATCTATATATATATATCTATATATGTATATATGAGATATGCATATGAGATATGTAAGCTTCAAGGTGACCACCTGAACATCGCCATCGAGACCAGTCGTCTCATCGGTTTGGGCACCAACGTGCTTCCGGCCTGTGACCTGTGGCCCGCCTCGGCCACCCGGGATGAGACCATCGTGACCTCGGTGGCGTGGTGAAACGCTGGGTGAATGGTTGGTGAATGATGGGTGAATGGTGGGTGATGTGTTTTTTTGGGACTTGGGAATTTTAAGAAAATTTAAGCAAATCTGGGAGATGGCCAAATGTTTGACTGGGCAAAGCTTGCTGAATGATTTGTGGAAAGGGTGAGAGTTCTTGAGTGTTTTCATGCATACCTCCTACATACCGGTATTGAATTTTAATGATATTTCATGCTCATCCTCTCATGGCAACACGTTCACGGATCCCCATGTACCCACCTTGAAGATCACTAAGGATGGCTTTGCACAGGTTCTGCCCAAGGACAAGCGTGAGGTCAGGAAAAACCGAGGGGCGCACCTGGTTCTGGGGGTAGTTGACAGGAGAAGTCTATATATATATATCCTTTGGTAATTTAACAGTTTGCTATTGAAACCGGGCCATTTATATATATAATATATATATAGATGATTTACATTGATTTACCTATTAGAAATGGAGATTTTCCATAACTATGTTAAATTACCAAAGGGTATTTGTTTGAACTATGGCACAAAAATGAGGTCCAAAATGTGGATCAACACCCACAAGACCCTGAGGGATTGGAGTGCTTTGGATGTTCTCTTCATTTCTTCGGGGCAACTTGCCGTGCAGGTGATTTTGGTGCTGCAAAATCGTGGTTTGGTGGTTGGGATGACAGGTGACGTGGCAAAATTCAGAAGAAACTCAAGATCTTGATCCCGGGCCCAAGGCAAATCTCCAAAGTATCCAAGGTTGGAGAATGAAACCAATTTAGATCATCCGACAAGTTTGCTAAAGCAACCGGGGTACCTGTATACCATTGCATCCAAACCTCTCGAGCTTCCATAGGACACAATTATGCCATTTATATCCATTTATCCTAACATGGACAAAAGCATTTCTGACAGGTGGATCATCGAACTAACTGGGCCATGGCTTCCAGAGCTGGATCATCTTTGTATCCCAAGGGGGTTTGTTTGGTAAGTTGATTTTTTGAGACCTACCAGTTGTTTCAAAAAACCCCCGGTGTTTTGCACACCTTGGGGTCGACTTCCACCATCGCGAGGCGACGGCGTGAACGACGCGCCGGCGCTGGCGCAGGCGCAGATTGGCATCGCCGTGGATGGGGCCACCGAGGCAGCACGCAGCGCGGCGGATATCATCCTCACGCAGCCCGGGAGCCTTGGGCGAAAGCAGCGGTTTAGGGCTGGGAGTCACCGGGTTTTCATGGGGAACATGCTATTTTTATCTATTTTTCAATGGGGAAATCATGGGAAATCACTGATTTGAAATGGGAACACACAGAAAGGAAAAATCTATGAGGGATGTTCCAGATGAAACCATAAATTTCAATGGGGAAGGTAAAGGGGAAACACATTTGAAATGGTATCCAGATGTCCAAAAATTGGGATGAATCTTTGTATTTTTACCACATTTGGTCGGCAAAAATGGGTGATTTCACGCACCAGGCAAGATATGAGGGGGCGATGGGAAACCACAGGTAACGTGGTGACCTCACAAAGTAAGCACCGCATTTACACCACGCCTGCGGGTTCTTGTGACGAAAAGGGGATCTTAGATGGTTTTAGAGGGTTTGCACCTTTCATAGGTGTACTGCGCGATATGTGACGATCAGCAAACATTAGGGACATTTTCCAATCAAAGTTTTATTTTGAAACAGCCAATAGTTATAATTATATATATATATACATACATACACACATCAACTAAAACTTGGGAGGTATATAGACCGGCAGAAGTGAATCAGGAACATTGGGTGCTTTTGAGTTTTCGATCAACGCTTTTGATCGACAATGGTTTGTTTACTTTGTTTAGTTTTGATTCATGTTGACCTACTGGTTAGAACATAAATTCGGGAAATATGGTAGGGGAATAAATGGTCAGAGATGTTGAAGCTACCATGAGCTAGCCATCAGTGTTTTTGAACCCATAGTTATTTCCCAAAATGGAGGTTTCCTAAGTCATGAAGGTACCCCCAAATCATCCATTTATATAGGATGATTTTCCGTTATTTCATTTATCCAGCTAATGATGGGTACCCCATTTATGGAAACCTCTGGAGGATGAAACCTGAAGAAATTGGGGAACATCGAGGAGTTTCGACATGCCAAATGATGATTTGGGGTCTGCGAATCAATGGGACATTGTCCCTTGCGAGCCAACAGAAAGTGGAATGTCACGAGATTTGCGGGCCTACCAAGTTGGGAGTTAGGTTGTTATCAATGATATTTCAAACGTTTCTATTTGTGCACGGGACTGTTTGGAAATGGCTTCCATGTCCTGGAACAAGGTAATATAGTGCTATGAGAACTATAAAACCATTGGCTATCATGTATTGACTGTTTTAAGGGTGTGGGCAGCAGATGCCAAATAATTTTTGTAGATCTCGCCGCATCCAAGGCTCAGTGCCATCTTCGATGCTGTGGTTGAGTCCCGGAAGATCTTTGCCCGGCTTCGGTCGTATGTCTTGCCGCCTGGCGACAGGTCTTTGGGGTCTCTTAGTGCGGGAAATTGACACTTGGTGCATTCAAGTGAAGCTGTTTGAGAGGTTTCTGAGAGGTTTACAACAAGGAAGGTAGCAGAAGCAACTCCTAATTATATACCTATGAACATGGAGGTGCTGTAGAAATGTGTGGCTTGAAGATCATTTCACGGGTCGTTGCGCAACTGACCTTGCAGTCCACTGTGCAAGCTGTGGCTTGCAATTGCCTCATGAACGATTGAGAAACTGCTTCCGCATATTCGAAGCTTGATTTGTTGATCGCCTTGTCTTTCACGTCAAGTCAGTTGTTGTAGAAGAGTTCCTGTGCCGGGGCCAAAGGTATTGTAGAATCCTTAGAAGAGTTCCTGTGCTGGGGCCAAAGGTACCGCATTGGTGCTACAATCCAGATTGTGCTCGTCTTATCTATCCTGATTTATGCCTACAACGATACAATGCCCGCCCTTTACGTGCCTTGAAGCATCTCTAGCGTTGCCGAACACGTTTTGGATTCTCAAAACGACTAGGACTGCTGGATTTCATTTGGAGACATCATGATCATCATGTCACGCTATTCTTGAGGGTCTTCATTGAAACTTGAAACTTCAGTGCTAAAAAAACACTTCCTATCACTTCCTTTTCTTCACCTTTTCTTCACCATTCTGGAGAATATCTGAATATCTCTTGGCCTCTGGCAGCCGGAGGGTTAGGATGGTTAATGGTTCCTCCCAGACTCCCAAGGTGATCCTGTTGGCCCTGGTGAATGATGTAACGATGCTGCCAGTGGCCAGTGACAATGCGTCCCCTTCGGCATTGCCGGAGATTCCCTCCATGCCACAGATTTTGTTGGCTGCCTTCCTGCGACTTGGAGAAGCCGTTTCGGGGGTGCCCTGTTGTGTCCGCCAGTAGCCTGATTGGTAGAGAAACTCACTGAGGTATGGCTTCATTGGCACGGGACAGACCATGGCACTGTACCTGTCGGACGTCATTCACTCGGACCCCTCCACTGATCCAGAGGAACGTCGAAAGTATCGCATGGCCGTGACCTATCTTCAGTGTCCTGCCCGAATGTGAGAGGTTGTCGTAGCCAATAGTTCGATGGCTGTATCCCCAGCTCATAGACATCATAGAGTTTCTCTTTCTCTCTAATTATATCACGTGCACACACGCACACATACATGAGTATATATATATATATATGTATATTATGTAATTATGTATATATATATATATGTATATACATATGTAGATAGAGAGATATAATATACTCCCAATATAGTGTTCTGAATGCAACAACATACGGAAACATATCGCACGCAATTAATCCCCAAAGCTTCTTTGGATGATCATGTCCTATCTACTGACCATTGCCATCTCCACTTCTTAATATGTCGGCAAGCTTTTCATAGCTTTTCCATCATGATGTCCGGCGTCTCAGGATGTCTATTGCCGTTGAGCTGAACATCTTCTCCTGCCGAACACCGTTGTACGTGGGCAACATCCTGCGACGAGACACGTGGCCATCGCTGTTGCTCTTCATTTGCGTCGCTTGTGTTCAACGCAGTTCAACACCACGTGCACGGGGGACCTAAATTGGTTGCTTCTAGCCATCAAGGGATGCACAGTTCCTTACTAGAACAAAAAGAGTCAGTTGAAAAAGGCATCACAGGTTGGCGATGGTTTAGGACTGCTTGTTTCGTTTATTTTATGCTTTGGTTGCCTGCAGAGCCACGGGGAAAAACCGACAAATCATAAACCGACAAATCATAATCTGATACTGTGGAGGGTTTTTCTGGAAACCTTTGCATGTCTTTGTGCATGGGCGTGGAGTCACAGGGTCACAGGACGGCAGCTTATGCTTCATGTACCCTCTGGTTATTTAACATAGCTATTGAAAATGACCATTGATAGTGAATTTTCCCATTAAAAATGGTGATTTTCCATAGTTTTTTGTATGTTTACCAGAGGGTATATTCTGTTTAAGCTCATGCTTCGGTGCCGACTTCGTGCATCTTCGAAGTTGGCCCTGCAGGTCATGGGAGGAAATCTTTTGGTTTCCCTTCTGGCCGGCTTTGGTGATACCTTCCATGTCGTGTACAAAGTCGCCTCTTGGCAGCACGGGTTCCACATGGTGCCGGCGATGGCTTCCACCAAAGGGATGTTTGCTGCACAGCCAAGGAGTGGATTGATATTGCTTGGACCCGGACTCAGACTCCACTTCTTTCTTGCATAAACAGTCTAAAAACACAGTGGCGATTTATGTCAGAAGCCCGTAAAAATCCGCAAAGCTTTGCGAAATGCTGGAGAGAATGCCATGATAGAGGTGTGCATTTTGACCCTTTCTGCAGATGATCACATGAAAGCTAGCACAGCTTGAAATGTGGAAGGTTCTAAGCAGCACGGGAAATTCAAGTAAACAAGTTCTGGAGGTTCAGCTGTTGAACACTACAAGCAACTGTCATACAGGTAGAATGGTTCGGCTTTTAACTAGTAACTGACCGTCACAACTGCCACAATCATTGAGTGCAAGAATGTAAACAAACACAAGATTGCACAAGCCTCAGAAATATAAACAGAGGAATAGCAAGAAGCAGAAAAAGACACATGAACAAGGACAAAATTAACCACAACAGCAACAAGTGTTTGTGCCACTTCTCTTTTGTGCGCTACGACTGTCTCAGTATTGTTGGTGCTTCTGCCGGCACCAAGGATTTGGCTCTACGATTTGGGTTGTTTCCTGGTAGCTGAAGGTAGTGTAGCCCAAATCTGTGAACCAAAGGATCATTCAGAAGCACAGGGGCGTCCGCTAGGGCCCTGTGGGCACAGCCAAAGAACCCGTGGGCCATGGTTTGAATGGACAGATTCTCGTCCTATTCGTCCTGGAACCCGTTCTCGTGACAGCTGGCAGGGGGATGACCTGGTCATCTCCGCATGCGTCGGCCTGAGGCTTGTTGGTCATCGACTTGCTGAAAAGCTTCCTGAGCGTTATCGGGGCAGACTCCTGGCCAGGTTTGGTTGGGAGAAGCCGAAAACCCAAAGTGAATGGGGACCCCTACTGCAACGAAATCACAGGCGCAGATGCGTGGAATATAGATTAGTTGTAGTTGGTTAGTCAGTCAAGATGTAATTGAGCTAGTTACCTAGTTGGTGATGCATGCAGCTACTGTAAATAACCGAGTAATACCTGAATACAGCTAATACATATGTAAATCGATGAACAAAAGAATGCTAAGAACAGTCAGCGGGATCCATCCCTTCGCGACATGCCGCGACCAAAGGACTGGATGTCGGCCGGAGCTGCCGGCGATGTGCTCGGATATCCCGAGCTGCCCGATGAATTTCACGGTGCCAGCCATCGCTCAACGCTGCTGCACAGCAGGGTTAGCGCCAGGACGGGCACCGGGGGCGCCACTATGTCTGGACGCAGATGTCACAGGTCTGTTATATATATACGTATAACAATGCATGTTTGTATGCTTATAGGTATGAATATATTTGCATATGTATATATATATATATATATGCATATATGCACATGCATATATGCATAACCACTTAATTCTCTGATGATACATGCATACGTACATACGGACATTTATACATTCCCCTGCGGTATTGCATTCTGTGTTTTCTCCAGCCAGGAGCGTGCTTCATCATCACAGTCGGCTCTCGACCATCTCGCAGCAGGCGAAAACTTGTGGTGAGCTCCAATTCATCCCTGTGTGATGAGTGAAAAAAATGGGGGGGTTATACCAACTTTTTAATGGGAATCATTGTAGTTGTGATTCTAAAGTCAATGTTAGCACCCTTACCAAACAACCAGTGGGGTTGGAGATGACAAAGGGTTTTTGGGCACTGCTCAGCTGCAAAGGGGCGTAAAATTTGGGATATTTTCACCAATAAAAAGCAGTCATTGTATGCGAAAGTTTGGAACGCTTTGTTCGAAGTCTTTTGCCAGAAAGAAGATCCGAAGTAGTTCTCCAACTTTCCAGCGTTAGCAAATGTCAAAGCAGAACCTATGTCAGTCTAATTACTAATTGAATATTCTCCACCATCGCTCTTTGTCTTATTTTTGTCATTCTCATAAGACTCATAAGTCTCATTGCGGGACTCATCATTCTCATCATTCATCCGTTTCAACTTTTCAACTCAAACACACACACACACATATATATATATACACATAAATCATCCTCATGCCACCCCACAAATTACACATTACACAACCACCTTTCCTTAACCAACTCCCCCAACTCCCCCAACTCCCTCCCCACCTCCTACCCGGCCGCGTGCCAGGGCGGCCTGGCACGTGGCCCAGCCTTGGGAGCCAAGGCTTCGGGCTCCACGTTGCCCTTTCCACACAACCTGCGAGCGCAGGCGCTGCGGCACCTGCATTCATTTTGAGGCGAGAAACGGGCGCCTGGTGGGCGGCCTGCTGGGTGGACCCTAAGGGATTGTTTTTTTTTGGGGTATGATGGGGTATGATGGGGTATACGGGGTGATTTTCGGTGAAAGTGGAGGGGTTTCGAAGTTTTTGAGCTGAGGACCCCTTAAGGACAGTTTGGGCAGATTGGGGACAACAACAAAGCCACATGGTTGAAGCGTTTGGGTCATCTGCCAATGTTGGGATGCTCCCAGTTGGACATTTTTCCTATTGTAGGAGTCGATGCGTGAGTAGAACATCTCTGGTTGCAGTGGGATGATTTGTGCATGGCTGTTTGAAGAATATTCTATGAAGAGCAGAGCACTTTGGAAATCACAGGTTTCCCAACTTTCACAGTACGCAGTTTTGATTCACCTCCCATGTGACACGGACATGACCTGAGGAAACGGTTTCCCCTCCAAGTCGGAGTGGCCATAGAAGCCTTGTTGAGCCAGGCTATGCTGATGATGGCGGGAGCGTCGGAGCGCCATGCTCCGAGTTTTAGTAAGCTTCGCAGGCCACAAGAGCTAAAAAAGGGACAGATGTTCCCTTGCTATCTCCAGCCGTGCCGAAGAGGCACGGTGAACAATCCTGGCGGGGAGTGCCCGCAGATTCGCAGTGGTCCTAGTTCCAGGATCACTAAGGGGTGCACTCCAGAAAGTGTGTAGGTGGGTTCAGCTCAAGATTTGGCGACCTCCATTTCGGCATTGCAAATTGTGCCAACACCAAAGAATCAATACTCAAACTCTTGCTGTTGGGGCAATTCGAAACATCACATGTTTTTCAACACCCTGAGGCAAAATCTGACTTCGAAAATCGTAGAGTGTCCCAAATCTTGGAGATTGCCCAGGTGTGAACTGGACATTTGGTTTGCGGAGATGCTCCCAGGATTGCTGATTGGGCACTGGGCAGCTCTCCCCATTTCCCCGGCCAAGTCCACTTCGCACCAGCCATGTCCAAAGTTGCAGTGCCATTTTCTACATGTTTTTTGTTTGGGGGTCTAGCTCCAACCCTATGGTAGCCTGAACATAGCCCTACGAATCCACCTCAAACATTCTTCTTACTGGTGCTTAGTAGGTACCTGGAGAATGATCCGTAAGAACATGTAAGAACTATGAAAAATGATCCCATCCCTCCATTGGCCCATCTTTGTCATTTTGGTGTGTTGGACTTTGGGCAGTGCGCGGGGCCTGGTGTTGCACAGCACTCCTGCGCAGATGTCAGAGATGGACCATGATGGACCGGGTGCCGTGACTGACAGGAAAAGTGAAGCATGCAACGACAACGTGGGGTCTTTGAATGAAGGATCTATGCAAAAAAGGGTTTAACAGTTTAACCTCAAAGGTCCGTTCAAGGAATTGGCTAAGTGTAGCCATTGAGCCAGGTCAAGTCGTTGCTCAAGGCATGTGAGGCCTTTGCCCCACTTTCAGTGGCGAGAAGTCACCATTTCCAGCCACGGGTGGGCAGCCCGCTGCCCTTTGCTCGGCTTTGGGTCGTGGTTAAAAGAGGTTCGCCAGTGTCTGGAGCCAGAGTCTAACAGAGAGAGAAAGAGCCATTTGAGACACATACAACACCAAAAGTGAGACGTGGCAACCAAAAAAGAGAGAGAGAGAGAGTGTGAATCTAATTATCCAAAAGAAACATGATCCTGCACACATAAAAGCATTTGTTTTTTGAATTCCCAGGTGAAGTTTTAGGTGCTAGGAGTAGGGACAAACCGTGCGCTACCAACCTGGTAAGCCCGTAACGTGAGAAGGGCTCGGACCACCAGGTGCCAGTTTTCTTGGAAGATCTCTTGTTGGGAACTCAGTGATAGCTAGCTAGCTAACTAGCTAAGTAGGTAGCCGGATACTGGTAGATCTACAGTTGCAATACCTCGGGTGACTGGCCCCAGGGTTGACATGAATCTGGGTGAAATCATAGTCATGGAAAGGGCAACCATGGCAAAATCACCTCCCTGTATCTTGGGTTGGTAAATCAGACGCTCTATACTATATAGTCTATACCCTCTGGTAATTTAACATAGCTATGGAAAATCACCATTTTTAATGGGTAAATCCACTATAAATGGCAATTTTCAATAGCTATGTTAGTTTACCAGAGGGTACCATAGCTAGATCAATGAATCTGAAGCATCCTGACATGAAAATTTTACGGACTTGAGCCTCCTCTGGGATGACCTTCCAGTATCTTCCAGTCCTCCAAGCTGACCTGAACCTTAAAAGGAACTGCCTTGATTAACCCCATCCCCCGAATAGGCACCCCCATGGTATGCCTCCCGAAGATGTGAATTTCTTGGGGCGTCTCCAAAAGCGGCTGAGGAAATCCACGGTGGAGAAACCCTTGGCTGAACAGGTGGCTCACCAGAAGCGGGGAAGCCTGAAACATGGGGACTGGGTTATCCTTTTGGACATTTTTTATTTTTTTGGATTTTTGTTGCTTCTTGCTTAACATCGCCTGGCCATCGCTCAACCTTTGACTTCAAGAAGATCCCTGGGAGCAGCGCTCTTGATTGAGGCACTATTGGCCGGTCGTTTTTCCTTGAGTGTTCATTTCAACCTTTGGGTTGCAGCTTTCAACCCTTCTTTGCGAGTTTTTTTTTGGATGGTGGGGAAGGGTGGACTCATTTCGTTGAAGGGTTCTGCTCCCTGCCACTGTCAGGCATTTTGGCGGCTGCTCGGCTTGCGCGGCTCTTGCGGCTGCTGCGGCGCGCCTGCTGCTGCCTTGGCCTGCAGCTCCTGCGCCCCTGCTGTTGGAGGCATTGCATCATCGCCGGCTGAGCTAGTATGATTTAGGGCCGGGTTTATATTATTATTGCAGACAGATAGATAATAGATTATACTTCATGATATGTGTCACTGCATATGTGTCATTCTCATGGGTAATGTATGGTCACTCTTGGTCCAACAGGGCATATCCCACATCATCCTTAGTCAACAAAGAATTATGTTGTCATTCATGGTGTGTATGTGTGAAGACCAAAGAAGCATGAGATCAGAAATTCAAAACATGGACGTATTCTTTAAGGACGAATCTTCTTTTGTTTCAAGCATTGGTGACTAGTTGTTTTCATATCCCCATGCAGTACTTCCACATACTTTGCTTGCGCAGGTGGTTGCTTGCGGCTTCAGCGGCTTCAGCGGCTTCAGCGGCTTGGCACTTGCGGCTTCAGCAGCCGAGGCTCGCACCACCGGTGTGGTTGATGACACCCTGGGTATTTGATGCTTTTGAATTACCATTGAACCCCAAAAGCATCCCCAATTATTTGATGCCGTCGAATTCGAAAAATCATCAACGCAGTGAGTTTGACCTACACTCATCCCATGGACGGTTCACCTCTAAAAGAGCAGCTCACTGGCTCAGCGGCTTGGCGGCTTTCGTTTGGCACTTGATCAGTTGTGATGGCGGCTACGCTGCGCAGTCTTTTTGGTGGAGGACGGCAGAGTGCCCAGTCTAGCAACGATGAGAATGCTGAGGGGCCAGAGCCAGGTGACATTGTTGTGACAGGCACGCCTGTTGATCTCGATGGTGAAGCCTTCCTTGCCGTCGCAGCTCGCTGAAAACTTTGAAGCGGCTGAAGCGGCTGAAACGGCAGCGGTGGCTCAAGCCGAGGAAGCGCTCCAGGTGACCGAAGTCGCACAGAGGGCCCATGATCAAAGGGTCGACATTGCTCAGACCCTGGGGCGCAACTTGAGGAATGTCCAGCACAACATTTGCCTCCTCAACGGTGACCAGATCCAGCGGCTCACCTTGGACACTTCAATGTCCTGCTGAGCTCGTTTTTCCCTGGTGGAAAAAAGACTGCGCAAGGCATCGACCAGGTGTGTGCAAGCCCCTAAGCAGCAAAAAGATGCAAAAAGGTCCAAACGGCTGCTGTTATTTTTATGTCTAAAAATGTCAATGATGGGTATCTGTTGTAAAACATTGTAAGATTGGTCGATTGCTTATTCGTCGTATTACTATAGTAATGATAATTATTGTTATTATATATATTGTGCAAACTTAGTTGATTGTTAACCACCTTGCAAGGTATCAGAAGTAAGTTGTACAGTTAACTGAGATGAAACACCAATGTTTTGAGAGATCCCCTGAGGTATGAAAATCCCCGATGCAACGATGGTGGACCAAGCGAAGGATTTGCTTCAGCAGTTCCCGCAGCGCTCAAGCATTCCTCCGCGCTGGCAAGTCGCTGCTCGCATGAAGGGTAGTGTCGGATGCGAGTGTGGCAGAGAATAGGGCCCCAGAAATTACCACAGGGGAAATTTAAACCAATCAGGGTCCGAAGACATCAACTGTTCAAATCTTCCCTTTTTTCTCGCAGCTTCTCATTAATTCCAGCCGCTGAGATTGCTGCTGCGGCCCGGGAGATGTTGGACCAATTCACGGAAGCTGCGACCTCTGACCAGGGCTGCACGTACGTCGGGAAATTTATGCTCTACCCCTTTGTCATGAATGGGCAAGCAAGGGGATACGATCTGCAAGAAGTAGAGGACAGGGTTGCGCATCGCTGGGAGATGTGTGGCTTAAAAACATGCTTTGATAATAACAACACACGATCTGGAATCCAATAGAACATGGTCCTCACTGGTTTGACTAGCAGGAAGAATAATTGATCGAACTTGCAGCTAGGATCTGCAGGAAGCCACCGCAACAACAACGGCAACCACAATAACAGTCAACAATCAGAGCCGCAGCAAGAAGATCAAACACAATAGCAACAAAGCCTAGAAGTAGCAGCAGCAAGGTGAGGGCCACCAAGTGTACCCACGAACACGACAACCACAACAACAGCGACGAGAATAAGCATCCCCACAACGATAGCAAACACAACAATTACAACTACAATGTGCAGCAAACACAACTACCGCCACACCATGGATAACAAGGTCAACCTGACAGCGAGGACAGCAATGATGACAAAGATTGCAATGATGGCGACGACCACAGACACAGCACCAAACGAAAGCGCATCCACCACAGT